GTGGCGCCATTACAATTGATGTCCTGCCTCGTAACTGAAGGAATCGAGTTAGGCATGCATTATCAGGGTTTTGTTATTCCGACTCCCCGAAGGAGGGAGTGGTTTTTGCGCATGGGCCTCGTCACAGTGACAGGGATGTGACCCCAGCCAAAACGTGACAAAAGCGTGATAAAGCGTGATTATCCGCGAATATCGGACGGACGAGCGCTAGTTTTAGATGGGACGCAGCAGCGTGACATAGTAGGTGTGGGATCGCTTACATCATGTGATAGTATCAGTTCCGAATGTTATCCGTCGGTTTGCCGAGTTGCCGAAGTTAGCGCTGACTTGATAACAATCAGTTACGTAATCGTATGGTCTACTGCGCTTTGGTTTCTCTGCGTAATGACAATTGCCGCATTTGGGTGGATTTTTGGGCGCTTATACGATAAGATAAGATAATAACTCCATACACACTGGCCGATCGATCGCCGATCGATCGTTATCCGGCCCGATCAACCGCTTTCCCATGACCCCCCCCCCCGGGGGAGTCGGAATGCGGCGCTTGGCGCCACTTTACTCACGTAGGCGTTCGCGACAAGGCTTCGAACGTCTCGAGCCCTAACCCCAAATTGAGGTAACTCGGTTGATGTAAGCGACCCGCGTTTTCCTTTCGATTTTGCTTCTACTCTTCGGTCGATACCTTACTCTTGCCGCCATGGACAATCCTTATCTCGCGCACCACAAACAGAAGAAAGCATATGGATCAGGCGCGACTAACGGAGATGCGACCAGCAAAGAGCCACTGTTCGGTTTTGTACCGCGTAGGGTGAAAGGGGAACAAGTACGCAAAGCTCTGGTGCGTTACGTTCGTCTCGCCTCAGTCTGCACAACGCTGAATGCGTAGTTTTCAGGATGGCGATATTAACCCATTCACGAAACAACCCCACACCCCGCAATACAAGAAGATCTTGGAGGCGCGCAAAAAGTTGCCGGTGTTTGGGCAGATGGACGAGTTCATGACGATGGTGAGCCTGCAGGCCTTTCACTTCTGTCCTGTTTTCTGCTCTCAGTGGTCCTGAAATTGTGTAAGCTGATGTTTCAGAACACAAGTTTTCGAACAATCAGATTATAGTCATGGTTGGAGAGACCGGGTCTGGGAAGACGACGCAGTAAGATCCACCTTTCGTGTGCGCACGCAGCTATGCACGCTAACGGCTCGCCGTTTTTGTCCAGAATACCGCAGTTCGTTTGCTTTTCAGATCTTCCGCATACGAGGGGGAAGATGGTTGCGTGCACGCAGCCTCGGCGAGTCGCTGCGATGTCCGTTGCGAAGCGTGTGGCTGATGAGATGGACGGTGCGTTACATGTCCCTTTTTCAGTCTGTGATCCACTCGTATTGAGAAAAGCTCCTGCTATGTAGTTCAACTTGGCCGCCAAGTCGGGTACTCGATTCGGTTCGAGGACATGACCGAGCCTGGGACGACATTCCTGAAGTACATGACGGACGGTATGCTTCTGCGTGAAGCCATGAATGACAACGAACTATCCCGGTATTCTACCATCATTCTGGACGAGGCCCACGAGCGCACACTCTCCACCGATATCCTCATGGGTCTTCTCAAATCCCTCGCTAAGCGTCGGTCCGACCTCAAAATTATCGTCATGAGCGCCACGCTCGACGCTTTGAAGTTCCAAAAGTACTTCGGCATCACTGGCGACGGGTCACAACCAGCCCCACTGTTCAAGGTTCCCGGTCGGACGCATCCCGTAGAGGTCTTCTATACGCAAGAACCCGAACCGGACTACGTCGAAGCCGCGATACGAACGGTCCTTATGATTCACCGCGCTGAGGAGCCGGGTGACATCCTACTCTTCCTGACGGGTGAGGAGGAGATCGAGGACGCTTGCAAAAAGATCAAGATCGAGGCGGATGACCTGATGAACCAAGATCCCGACTCTGTCGGCCCGCTTGTGTGCATTCCCTTGTACTCCTCTTTACCGCCCGCACAACAACAACGAATATTCGACCCGGCGCCCTCTGCCCGTTCTGGCGGTGGGCCGCCCGGGAGGAAGGTCGTCGTCTCGACAAACATCGCCGAAACGTCGCTTACCATCGAAGGTATCGTCTACGTCGTCGACCCCGGATTTTCGAAACAGAGGGTATACAACCCGCGGATACGAGTCGACAGTTTGTTGGTATCCCCTATATCGAAGGCGTCTGCGCAGCAACGAGCAGGTCGTGCTGGGCGTACGAGGCCCGGAAAATGCTTCCGGCTGTATACGGAGAAGGATTTCATGAAGGAGCTTGAGGAGCAGACGCACCCGGAGATCCTCCGCAGCAACTTGGCGAACACGGTTCTCGAATTGGTCAAGTTGGGGATAAAGGTATGTCCCTTGCATCGTTGGTTGCCAGTGCGCTCATCCAGCTCGCGGTGTTATAGGATCTTGTACGATTCGACTACGTCGACGCTCCTGCGCCGGAGACACTCATGCGCGCCCTGGAACTGCTCAACTACCTCGCGGCTTTGGACGATGAAGGCAACTTGACTCCGTTAGGGGCCATGATGGCCGAATTCCCTCTTGACCCTCAGGTGCGCACGCATCCATCATGCCTTGCTGTGTTGCGGCTGATTCTCGCCGTGCTCAGCTCTCGAAGATTCTCATCATCAGTCCGGAATTCAAGTGTAGCAACGAGATCTTGACCATCACTGCGATGTTATCAGGTACGATGGTGACTCTTTCACCGCATCACTGTACACTAACAAGCTTTAGTACCGAATATCTGGGTTCGTCCCAACAACCAGCGACGGGAAGCTGACGCCGCAAAGGCGCTCCTCACTGTCCCGGACGGAGATCATCTGACATTATTGAATGTGTACAATAACTACATGCAAAGTGAGTTGGTATGCACCCCAATCAAGATCGACGATCTTCTCATGAATGTATTGCTCAGACCAGAATGACAAGAACTGGACATGGACCAATTACCTCTCCGCCCGCGCCTTGGCTCAGGCTGATAACGTGCGCGCGCAGCTGCTGCGGAACATGGAACGGTTCGAGATCGAGTTGATGTCTATCACGGATCCTCGCAAGCTATATATCGCCGTGCGTATGGCGCTCGTGTGCGGCTTCTTCATGCAAGTCGCGCACAAGGAAGGCGAGAAGGGCCAATACTTGACGGTGAAGGACAACCAAGTCGTTGGCCTACACCCCAGTTGCGGCCTGGACGGCCAGCCGGAGTGGGTGATCTTCAACGAGTTCGTGCTCACGACGCGACCGTACATACGCACGGTGACCGAAATCAAACCCGAATGGTATGTCGTTGTCGACCGAACGAAACGTCGTCATACTCATGTCTCATGCAGGCTGCTGGAGTATGCACCACAGTACTACGACCTCAGTAGTTTCCCGGAGGGAGAGACAAAGCGAGCCCTAGTAAGGGTAGCGAATAAGAAAGCAGGGAAGTTTGCCGGGCGGACGGACGATGGATCCGAGCGCGACGCGAAACGGAGAAAGAAGGCGAGGCAGTAGTTGTGGGTTACGGTGCTGGTACTTCATTGGCCCGTTCTTCTTTCGGTAGAAGTGGTTGTATGAATATGAATTTCTTGGTGTGCTACTGTTGTACTCCATTTAGCTCGTTCGTGTGGCAGGAGTGGGATCACTAGCGTCGTATCGTGGCACTTTACCGCCGACATTGGACCTAGTGATATGACGATCTGACATCGTTTGTGATCCGATCCGGCTTGTATTCATTCGACGCAAACTTCTATCCTTTCTTTAGTTTTACTTCTATCTCTTGTGCATGTCGCAACGTTAACTTTCCCCTGACTACCTAGAAGTCCTCAATTCAGCCTCCCACGCATGCGCGACTTGCCTTCCCCGCAACCCTTGAATCCGTGCTCTCGGACCGACGCTCTCGATGGCATCCGCACTCCGACAGCCCGGAAAGGAGAGCCTGCGGCATTCCGTGGTCTCATTTCTACACAGTGGCAAACATGTTTCCTCCGCTGCTTGATCAGCTGCTCTTCAGAGACTGAGGCACAGCAGACAAGTCTCGTCCCAGCCGCGACACCTTCAATACATTTGCTGTCACCTCCGAAAGCATCCTATGAGACATGAAGATCGCGTATACGATGAGGCTATATCATGTATGTTCTCTACCGGATTACAGCGTGTCAACCTTGGACACGCCCGCTCGAACGCGGTCATCGTATAGAGCCGTATAACACAAACGCAGTAGGTTAGGCTGCCCTTAAATACACGCTCAGGGTAGGCGGGCTTCAACAGCCTCGTCGAACGATACCGTACACTGTCGCTGGCTATCATGGCGACCAAATCGTCCGATATCACCATGCTCGCTGAGATCATCAGCCAGAACGTAACCGTCATCCAGAGCATATCTGACCAGCTCAAGACGCCTCATCCTACGCTCGATGACACATATGACTCTGGCAGCAAAGCCGAACAACTCACTCTCCACCCCGAGGTCCTCAGCTCTGCTTTCCTGGCTATATCTGCCGCATCTCAGCTCATTGCGACGCTTAAGCTTCCGGGGCTTTCGTTGCTCGATAGAGCCAACTGCGTAAGCCGGTCGGACATAATCACATGCTATCAAAATTCTAACATACTACTAGTTTCACATACCATCGGCATTTAGGATCTGCCTCGAATCTGCCGTCGCGGAGATACTGCGGGAAGGTGATCCGGACGGCGTAGATGTCGCAGAGATAGCGTCAAAGTCTGGCATAGATGCTGGTCCTTTAGGTGGGTGAAAGCCGTGTGCATTAACTAGATACGATAGCGCCCCCGAGATAAACATGCTTGCTAACATTCGGGATTGTTATGTCAACAGAAAGAGCTCTCCGACTCCTAGCAACTCATTACATATTCAAGGAGGTGCGTGTGTCTTACTAGACGTGTGAAGACACCACTGCACTGATAATTGTAGACGCGTCCTAACGTGTTTGCCAACAATCGCCTTTCCTCCATGTTGGATTCTGGGAGGAGCAGCGCCACGGTTCTTGCTCTGGGACAGTATGCATAAACCCACCTCATAAGCATGATGTACCACTCATATCATTGCGCAGGAGACGCGATAAGCCAATTGTTAATGGCATTACCAATATTCAAGGCGAGAAATATGTCGGAACAGACGGTATCACAGCTCTCCTTGAGCAGAAGTAAGTACCCAAACAGGTCGCACATCAATACGGCTTCTCATCGACTACCTTGAGCACAGCGCAGATGAAGTGTATAAGGCGTCTGCATACATCCCAGACACTGTGCTATCCAACGACTGGTCCAAAACTCCCTTCCAGCGAGCGTTCAATTTGGAGAAATCTATTTGGGATTTTTACGAAGAATATCCAGCGCATCTCCAAAGGATTCAGATTGCCATGGAAGGCTTTGTCGGTGTACGACCTCAGTTGAAGTTGCTCAAAGGTACGTGACCTTAATTTATAATATTATTGCTCGTTGTTCAACCCACTGTGTGTTAGGATTCGATTGGGCTCAACTACGTGCCGGCTCACTGCTAGTCGATGTCGGTGGAGGTAATGGCTCCGAGTCGTATGAGATTGCGAAGAAGGCGCCACACCTCAAGATTATCATCGAGGACCGCGAAGAGACAGTCAAGCAGGTCACTGGTCCGGTGAGTGGAGTTGTGACACGGTTCAGCCAATACTAACATATTGAGGCTATAGACGTGGCAAGCACACGCGGAGAAGAAATCATTGCTGGACTCCGGTCGCGTTAGCCTTCTAGGTATTTGTTCTGCGCGAACAACGTCATGTCGGGCATGACGCTTATATTCTGCCTTCTAGGTCAGGACTTTTTCGATGCGCAACCTGACGACCTTGGAAAGGTCGCGATGTTCTTTATGCGTTTTATAACACACGATTGGCCCACATCGGATTGCGTCAGAATCCTCAGACGCTTGCACGCCGCAGCTGCCCCCGACACCCTACTCCTGATTAACGATCAAGTCGTTCCGTACGCGTGCCCCACGCCGCCGTCTTTGATCTACCCAGGCTCGTGGACACCTGACGTGCCGTCCCCTTTGCTGGCTAATCTGGGAGAAGCGAGTGCGGAGGTGTACTTCATCGACTTTGCCATGACGGCGCTGTTTAACGGTCAGGAGAGAACCCTGGGAGAGTTCAAAGAGATGGCGGAGCAGGCCGGATGGAAGATCGAGAAGGTGTACCAGACGGTGGGGAGTCGCATTAGCCAGGTCGTTTGCTCCAAGATTTAGTAAGTTACTTGGTTCATAAGTTTTGTACAACACCTGGTTTCTGTGAATATTACTCGAAGTTTTATTCTGTCTATTACGTTTTGTAGCAATGATTGTAGCTCAGTATACTTTACCTGGTATCTCTCCGGACTGAAATCTGTACAACCGTGGCGGTGCTGAAATACGGCTGTGTAAATGCGCATCACGTGCTCATTCCACTTTGGTTTTAATTTAACTTATTGATCACTAACTCTACAGTGAGCTTTGCAATTAGACATATTTTATGTTAGAAGCCTATGTTACTTTTACGCCTTGAAACGAGGCTTGAAATGCGACTTGGCAGGAATATAACATATTGTTCTCACGCTAATATTACACATCAGTTACCGCTCTAACATGAACCCGTCCAGCGTTGCTTGATGAAGCAACGGATTCTGAACCAGTGGAGGCTGGAAATGCTGAATTATCAATGTCACCGTGGTGCAAGCGAAGGTGGGCGCGCGGGGCACCCGCCGCTTTTCTAGTACTTAACATGGAATGCAGAAAATGTTTGCAGGGAAAAATTGCTTTCTATGGTTATCTTTGCCCGAAAAGACGCGTCGTGTTAGCCGCGTCGCGTTCTTTCTTCCTTGCACCTCCTTCATAATGGCCCACGATACCAATCCACGCCCTCACAAGCGCCAGCGCCTCCAGAGCGCATCGCAAATCGCGCTCTTGTCGCCGGTCTCGTCCTCGCAGCCGTTGTCGTCGCCTCTGACATCCCTGCCACCCTCGTCGCCGATCCGCGACGCGTCCAACGCGTCTCGCCTGCTCGCTTCGCATCCGCAGCAGCAGCCACACCCACCTCTTGGTTCCAAGGTCGCAGGAAATTGCAAACAGCTCGAACAAACCACCGCGGAGTTGAATCGTCTTCCTGCCCCCGCTCTACTCCTTTCACTGCCGAAACTTCTCGCCGTACCGCCCAATCACCCGCTACACGCCCGCTCATTGCATCTCTCTCTGGTCTCATTTCGGAAATGTCTCATGGTACCTGGATTGAATCCGGAGGAAGAATGCAGAGCATGGACTGGTTTGGTGGAGGTCGGTATGAGCATCATTGAAGGTGGCTGGCCAGAGAAGGAAGAAGAGGATTGGGCACATGGAGTGGAGGCAGAGGTGAGACTCCGGATACGCCTCGATCTATTCACGGTCATAGTACTCACGAGACTCCGTAATGTAGGTGGATAAAGCGATCTCCAAAGGGGTGCGCGACATTTTATACGCATATATGCGCATATTGACACTTGCTTGGCGTATTAGCTTATGCTCTCACAAAAGGTACCGTAACCTAGGCCATCTTCCGCGTGGTAGCGAGGCTCATCTTATCTGTTGTAGCATCCATCCCTGCAAGTCTACAGATCTCTCCTCTCCATCCACCAAGCCACCCTCGCACATTGGCAACGCAAACAGAAGTTCTCCCGCAACGTGATGAAGCGTTTACTATCGTCATTTTCATCATCTTCCACATACCCCAATCCGCACGGCGTTGTGGTTGCAGACGCGAGCTGGTCGCTGCGAGATCCGCCGCATATAGTCTATACCGCATACCTCACCGCCATCGAGCATCTAGTGTCGACGATCACCGATACCTCCTCTTCGGCCTCGTCACCGCAATTGAGCCCGAGAAAGCAAGAACGACTGGAGCCCTTCTCGCCTGCGAAGTTCCGACCAACGGGTTCTTCGCGACGGATGGATCTCAACGTCCAGACTGCGTTAGATTACCTGGAGAAGATGAACGGAATGGCACAACAGGCCGGACATGACCGGATAAAGCAACTCGTGGCGGTAATTGCTTGTTCTGTTCTGCGCTCGTTCAACGTCCCCCCATCTCTAACCTTGCCACGCTAGGTTCTCAAGCTCCGCACACTGCTGTCAGCGGGACTATATGATCTCCTCGCCGGACCTAACGGGGTCCTTGCGGATGCGGAACGAGCGTTTGCCATATCCTACAACGTTTCAGAGGAGAAGAAGTCAAGGGCCGATCCGGTGAAGGCGGATGCTTCGTTCACTTCTGATAATCTTCCGGAAATGCAAACGTTCGCGGATGCTACGGAGACGGCACTGGCGTTACATGTCCTCATCATGGGGGTCGTGTATTATACACAAGTCGGAGAAGGTACGTCCCGGGTTAAGGTGTGGCTTAGGAATGCCGACGGACGTCTAGGCAGCTGCTCAGGCCAGCCCGCGGTCTAAACATCTACACGCGTTGATGGATGCCGGTGCCTTGGAAGGTTTCAAAGACAGCTCAATCACGGTGAGTCCGTATTGGCCGCATTCTGCATTCTGCGTTTTCTGACCATTCGCCTGGGAGCAGATACCACTTGATCCATGCCCTCCGTTGAGTTTGCGCTTGACGCACCCGCGAATATTATGGCATTTGGTGTATTTGCTTGGCGCCACCTCTAAGGTACTTCAGTACCCGCTCTACTACAGGATGCGCCCGATGATAACGCATCGCTATAGCGGGACACAGTTGGTCGTAAGCCGCGGCGAAAAGTCTGGGCCGAACAAGGTCTCGCTCAGTTCGATAAGGCCGACAAGGAGACAGGGGCGCCGCCGGCCTTGTGTGAGTTTTTTAATACTTGGGTAGGTTTGCAGGAGCTCAGTGGGGTTTCGTTCAGTTCCGACGTGGGCGAGTGCAGGAGACGTCTCCGAGCTGGAGCAGCGTTTGGCTCGGATAAAGGCGGATCTAATGTGCGAGTTAGTGACGGTATCCATAATGCGCAGTGAATGGGACAAAGCCAAGCAGGTATTTACGAGACAGTCGTCCCTATCGACGTAGACGCTTACGGTTGTACTCTTGTGCTTCAGACGCTCGACTCTCTCATCGCGCATGCGCGCACAAGCCTCATATGGGATTCATACTCATGCCGGATAGCATTGCACTATGCCCATCTCGCGCACGCTCTTGGTCGCTCTTCGCGTGCGCGAGAGCTCTATAAGGTGGCTGCGTTCATATCGGACGAGAATGTGAGGGAATACGGTGGAAGAGGCGAAGGATTGGTAGTGAGGGCCGCTGCCAAAGCCGGCCACGTACTACTGGCGATCGGGCGAAGGTGCGAGAGATCAAGTCGTGGAGACGAAGGAGCTAGAGTCGCGGTTGGGAAGGCATCAGAGAGCGAGGATGAGGATGAGGACGAAGGCTTCGATCCCAAGGAGGTGATTACGGAGTGCCGTGCGGCCGGGGGTATGCTCGACGCAATCGCTCACATAGTGGAGGCTGGCGTGGCGACTGAGATCATCTCCGCGAAGTACGTCGCCTGATACCTTTCCTATAATTGTTCTCATCGCATCTACGGGGTTAGACAACACTTGAAGCGCTCGTTGGACGTGGCCGCAGCTGCGCAGGATAACTACCTTCGAGCCCTGGTCCTGGCCCTTATAGTGGCACATTATACGCACACGGCCGAGGAGCACGCGTGGCAGATGCTGAATACCTGTGAGATGCTCGCTGCTGGCCTTGGGGCACCGCCCAAGGCCTCGTCCTCGACGGAAGGAGGAAATGTTGTTCTCGGCCTGTGGATCGCGGAACGGATGCTGGGTATGCTATAGCTTGTGCATTGGAGGGATCGTTGCTGACGCCATCCGTAGAGATACTCAGAAGAAATGAAGAGGGCCAGGGTGTTGCTAAACTTGTTGCGAAGCAGGAGATGCTACGTCACGGCTTGAAGAGGCTCATTCAGCACGGGAACTCGATGGCAATGTGACGCCGACTCCGAATCTTCGCGTTTACGGGAGCAGAAGGTCACTGCCTCGATTTCCCCCAGGCAACGCCTAGTGCCAGCCAGATGGATATTGCTGACGATGCTGTTGCGTCGCCGTTTATGGAAACGTTTGCTGTTATTCATCATCCGCAATACCTGCGACATGGCAGGAGTATATCGTAGTTACGACGAGCATATTAGGTGGATCGGCCTGTCGGCCACGCGCCAAGCCGTGAACATTCGGGGTATGTGGGCCGTTCCTGTTGGGGGACCTGTGCTAGCGATCCACCACCATCGCCACCACCTCTCTCGGGTCGTCCTGTAATTCCACATGTGATGCACGACGGCCCACGATCGATTGTTACAAGAATCTATCCGGTAATTCAGTGGTTCGACAAATCACATTCGGCGTCCGAAACGCAGGTCTGGCGGTGGCCGTAGGCGGTGTACAGGGTTCGCACGGGCTTTTACTAAGAACGCCTTGACGCTCGCTCTACGCTTCGGCTACTATCCATTCGCCATCTTTATACATTCACTTTCTGTGCAACATACTCTCCTCGGTGCGCACCCGGACGTTGCGCAGTATGGAATACGTGGCGGCAAGTTGACTGTCCTTCCGGCACATCCTGTGCAATATTCAATGATCCGGCTGTGGTGTGCTTTCGGTGTTGATATCTGGCTGTTCAGCTACGCAATGGTCTGCCTTCTCTCCATCGCGACGTTGCCAACCGGTCTGGCCGCGATCTATTCATTATGGGCTGGCGTAGATGCCTACCAGAGTGCTGCGGATTGTTGTCGCTTCACGCGTTTTGGCAGGCGGATACAGTATAAGAGGGCATGTCGCAGCTCTCCGATTCTTTACCCCGGTCGGTCCCCATCATCTCGTACAGTCACTTTCCTTTGCTTTGTAGGCCAGGCGCCGTTGTCTATCATATCCCTAAACATCCCATCCCTCTCGAAAACAACATGTTCGTTCGTGCATCGGTGTTCACTCTTGCGGCCTTGGTTGTCTATGCGCTTGCCGCCCCTACGCGCCGAACCAACACCGGAGACGGTGGGTTACACCCGAAATCGATAGGGGCCTTGTAACCGAGTAGCTTTAGTCACGTTCTTTGAGCCTGGTCTGGGCGCATGCGGTCAAACCAATAGCGCATCCGATTCGATCGTCGCCATTTCGTCGACGTTGTTCCAGTACGTTTTGCTCTTACCGGCGCTGAACTTGTCGGCCAATTATTTCTGTTGCCTATCACAGAAGCTTGCAAGGCGCCACTGCGAACCCAAACGCTAACCCCGTGTGTGGGAAGACCATCACGGCGAACTGTGCGTGATATGGGTGTATCTACTCTCATTTAGTTGTATTGATTCATGAATTCTAGTCCAAGGGAAGACTGCCACTGTGACCATCGTGGACGCTTGCCCCGGTTGCGCGCAGTTCGACCTTGATTTCTCGCCGGCGGCGTTCAGTCAGCTCGCAGACCCCAGCGTAGGCAGGTTGACTGGCGTCACATGGGACTTCGACTAGTGGGTTTGCGGGGCGACGCTGGCAAGTGTTGTCTCATGACGTTGTCCCAGCGGGGATGTTGGACGAGGATACTATATCGGTGATATTGATGGCAGTGCATACTGAGCAATGAAAGTTGTCTTGCCGATGCGCATATCTGGACAACATCGAGTCATATCTCGAAACACTCATTTCGGTCAAGAAAAGAAGCTGAGGGGCGCCCTAGAACACTTCAGAGACTGATAGGTAGATCTGGCCCCAAGTCCAACGGAAAATCGGTGCTCAATCCTCCGAATGCCAATTTGATATTACCTGAGTCCAAGGTACAGCAGGCAATCACGAAGATCGTGCATCAATACTCACTTTCGGTAATTTCCGCGACCTCAAGCTGCTCGTCATCCGCAAAGACGAGGATCTGTGCGACAGTGGCGGCGAGGGTTGCGAAATTGGTTTGTACCACACTAGGCTTCCAGCCGAGCTCGAAAGGGAGTTTTTCCTGTTCGAACAGCATGTTGACGAAGCTTTGAGGCGCCATGGCAATGATCGGCGCGCTCATGACCTGCCAGGAGATTCCGTGTCAGGAAGGAATCGTCGCCCAGTCATCACGGACGCACTGATAAGTATAACGCCGCCTCGCCATACGCGATAAGTGCATGTTGGGCGAGCCATGTAATGTTAGGATTACGAGCGACGGAGTCTTCGAGGCGAGCTTGGCGGACAAGCCCGGCCGTCTCTGTGGTGTAGAAGCCGTTGACAGCGGAGTTGTTGAGTGTCTGGAATATAGTCGTATTGAAGTCGTGATTGTCGCCGAAGAACGCATCCTCGCGAGAGACTGAAGCTGTATCAGGGCGTGAGATGCGGAGGCAGGCATATCGATTTCACGCCGGACTTCTGTGCTCACCATCGTGTTCAATGGGGAAGTTGTGCCTGAATCGTCGATCAATGCCGTCGAGGTGAGTCAGAGAAATGATTAGTGCTTACTCGTTCAAATCGTCCAGGTCAAATATCAATCCTCCTTTCGCTATGGCGCCGTTCGAAAGAAGGGAAGTCGTCCCGATGACGGTACAGAAGTCAGCTCCAACGTTCAATCCATCTGCGCGCATCTTTGTGAATCAATATTTTTACCAACAGTATAAGCGTTAAAAACCTTGGCAAGCAGTAACAAGGGTAGGAATCGAGATGGACTTTCCGTCGCGGGGCAGGAAACCGTGGTTTGCGAGCCTGAGGGGGATTGGTAAGTGGCGTTACGACGTTCTCTTCGTTGTACTGCGATCTCATACGTGTTCAGACCGGGACAGGGGGAGCGGACGGCGCCTGAAATCTGCGACGCAGGTATCCATTCAGGTGGGCTCTGGGCGAACGCAACTGAAAGGAAGATCAGAGCCGTGTAGATAGTCAACATCGCGTGGCACTGGATAGGGTGGAACCTCGAGGAGAACGCAGAGTACAATGCATTCTTTAAGTGAGACCTCTTCATCATTTGGCGATGTTGCTTCACTGACATGACTTCACCAGAATAGAACGAGTGACGTCTCGTCTGGCGAGAGCCCAGCAGTGACCGGCGAGCTCCCTATAGTCTCTTAAGTATAGGTCGTGGGTACCGGAAGGTGAGGCTACACATGCCTGCATTGAATTGCCAACCTCGGGTGTATTCCATTCATCCACGCGGAGTGAGAGGAACCAGAGGATGGTATTGGTTTGACACTCGGATTTGCGCTCTTCGGGACGTAAAAACATGCAGTGGCAACGTGCGTATCAGATGATTGCTAGTCGTTTGCAGTACGTCGTCACTTCCCCGAACCAGTTTAGAATGTATGACGCGCGAGGATATATCGCGGAGCTGCGGCGAACGACCTCTTGTGCAACCGCGCCCGCGTTATGACGCGCAACTATCGTGCCGGGACAATCCTCGACGAGTAAAACTTGGGAGCGTGGTTTTTTAAGCAGCCTTCGTCCGATTAGAAGTTTCAACGTCGTAGCACAAGCGTTTATATGTACATGTATCTATTCACAGTAGGGCATTAGTGATGGTGGTACGCAATCGCTTGGCCGAGGAGATGCCTTCACCGAGCAGGCAGGCGGGCGCAAGCCAATGTTATGGTGCTTAATCCACTTTTGCAAGCTCCTTCGCACCTGCCGCAATGGCATCGGGGTCCTCTTCCTTCTTTGCAGCCGCGTTTACGGCGCTGAGGTACGTGTCTGTGTGATCATGTCAATACAGCGGTCTTGAGAAGCACATAGCAACAGCCTTAGGGTAGGCACTGGGATCCGAGCAGGATAGAAGAGAGAACGCACTCCAGAACAAGCTGACCACGCCGACAAAGACAAAACGGAAGTGAGGCGGTACTAGACCGAAGTTGATAAGTTGCGCAGGAATAAATACACCCCTGATGCGACAGTTAACATCGGCAGCTCCAAAGGTACGTCAAGAGACGCCTACCAGTTCTTAACGAGAGTGGGAGCATAATTTTCTTTTATACGTTCCTTGGCACCTTCAAGGCCCTTGCCTGGGGTATAACCATCAGAACAGGCCATGACACGGAGGTGAGCTCAGTAAAGAATGCACCTTCAAGAAGAGACATGGACCCGAAAAAGAATGCGACAATCCCGGGAGTCAGAAGGAACTGATCCATCCATACCTGGATGTCGCGCAGACAAATTAGACTCCGATAGTGAGGCTGAGATATGACGACCGCACCATGTACACCACGCCCCGCTTTTTGTTCGCGAATTGTATCCGGCTCAGGAACTGGAACCATTTCGTGACAATCGGACCGAATAGACATCCTACGACAGCCAATGGCAGCACGAGCCATGCATCAAAGGGTGACCGTATCGCAAACGCCTTATCATCACCTGCCACTTTACTCCGTAAACGGGATTGTGGGCTCACCTCCATAGAAGCTCAGTCGCGCTGTCCTCGCCAGGTCGTGATTCTTTCCCTTCTTCTCGATGGCCTGCTGCGCCAGCACGTCGCCTGCGCCGAACAGGAACGCGGCCGTACCGCATTGCGCAAGCATCGGTCGGCGCTGAAGGACGGAGCTGCAGGACAGACATGAGCAACGATCTTCGAGAGTTATAGTGAGCATTCACTTGTAGGCGCGGAAGAGTCTGGAGGCCATGGTGGACGATTGCGAACGACAAGGGACGCGCTGGCGAGTGGAGACGCCCCCTTCGGAAATGCGGGGTTCGGTGAGGTAATCGGGGGCGGCGGCAACCCGGTCCGGTCGTTCTCACGCCTCACTTACGTTTTGGCTACATAGCGCGACTTCGCGCCTGCCTTCACTCTGATCAGGACCGTGACTATGCACCAGGGAAAACGATTGGAAGGTACGACGCGGGCGCGAATGTGCAGGGTTATATGTGCCGGCTAGGACGGTGCTCTGGTCCAAGCTACGACTTCCATCCCATCTTATCCTTGCCGTGTGACGACTGTTCGTACTGGAGCGACATACGGTACCCCACGGCATCTCACAGACTGCCGGCACCATTATTGCTCAGTGGGATCTTCGGATGCTACACATCCTCGCTGCATGATCGAAGACCGCCCTTGGAAATCGACGTGCGATGACTTCGGAGACTAATACGATGCTGTGTTCGTCGGTATGGAAAGCAGCAGACGCGGACGGACAGGACAATCCCCGGTCGCACGCTTCTCCAAGCCTGTGCGAAGGTCTGACAACTTGCCGCCGCACCCGGTCCCGGAGTGGGAACAGGCCGTCCGCACTTGGCAGCCGACGCAGCGTGTATGGGCTCCTGCATGGCTTGCTACACGGTGGACCGTTCCCGACCGGTCTGCGCCACGTTCTGTGCGCACACGTACCCGCGCGATGGGAACAGGAAACGCAGATATAACTCGTCTACCCGCCGCCTCCGCTTGGCAAAGACGAACTTCCAACTTCATCTTTCGCATCTCCCGCCCCTCTCTCCTTTCTCGTAATTCGCAACGATGTCGCGCGCCGCCAAGAAGCCCGACCCGCCGCTCAAGTTCGAGTTCACGACGAACAGCGTGCGGAACACGACGGTGTCCGTGGACGACGACAAGTTCATATACGAGATCGTCACCCGGTACTGGCACCCGAACATCACCAAGATCAACAAGGTCGACGTGGAGAGCCGTGAGGTCCGGCTCATCGCCGAGATCGAAAAGGCCGCCTCGCCCGGCGCCGAGGAGCGCGTGCGCCTCGGAGGCGAAGGCGCCCAGTGGGTCGACGCGAGCGAGTTCCTCAAGCAGGAAGCGAACGGGTTCGTACTGGCTTAGTGCCGTGCAATGTAGAGAGTAGGGCTGACATTCGCTGGACCAGCGCCACGACCTGGGTATCCGAGACCGGTGAGGAGTACAGATGGGATAAACAGAAGGGAAAATTGGCTGTAAGCATCTGATACACGCTCGGCGAGACACAACCGTCTGATGCGCAATGATCTAGCTTTTAAAGGCGTCAGAGGAAGCAGAGAAGCCCGAGCCACTTGCGAAGTACCACCCACACAAGCGTCATTTCTTTTTCTTCCGTATGTCGAAGCATGCATGGCTCGAGGTCAAGCCTGAGGCCGTCGGCGCACTTGATCAACTCATCAGTGAGTCGCTAACCATATCTGCGGAAGACCGCAGCAGCGTGCTGATATTTGCTTGACTATCCAGTCAGTTACATCCTCGTCGAGAGAAAGCGAAGGCATGGTAAAGCGTAGGCCGAGTTGCATTGCTTCGCAGATAGCTTCCTTGTATTGTACGTTGAATGGTCTAATGAGCGAGATAGATTTTTTGCGGGTTAGAGATACGATTTGCATGCCTGGTGTGATGTGCGTGCCGCGTGCGGTGACCAGGGGTCGACAAGGCCCCGGGAACCTCCGAAGCGCGTTCCGGGAACGCGCACGTGCATCTTCTCGAAATTTCCCCGGCCGAGTTTTTCAAGTGCATCCGCCTCGTCATCCCCGTTCTTGCACCCCGTTCTCATCCTCTCCACCTCCCCCTCCTTGTTCCTTGGTCTCGCCATGTCCCTCTCTGCCTCCTCGTCTTCCAGCGTTCTCCGTCGTGCCGCCGCTGCCGTCAAGCCTGTGCTTGCTCGCGGTGCGCACAAGGAAATCAAGTTCTCGAACGACGGACGCGCGAGCATCCTCAAGGGTGTCGATGTTCTTGCCGACGCGGTCAGCGTTACGCTTGGGCCCAAGGGTACGTCCAATGGCCAATTGGCTTTTATTGAGTTCGCTCAACATCGCGTTGCAGGCCGGAATGTGATCATCGAGCAGTCATTCGGCGGCCCGAAAATCACGAAGGGTACGTGTGCTTGCGGTTCCACTCAGACCTTTCGAGTAACTTATATATCGTTTCATAGATGGTGTTACTGTCGCGAAGTCAATACAGCTCAAGGACAAGTTCGAGAACCTTGGTGCTCGGTGAGCTCCCCCATCCGTTATTGGTAATGAGGTTGGGAGTGTTCATCACTTCCGCTTCAGGCTTGTACAGGACGTTGCTCAAAAGACCAATGAGATCGCCGGTGACGGTACGACGACTGCGACTGTTCTTGCGCGCGCCATCTACTCGGAAGGTGTGAAGAACGTCGCCGCCGGTTGCAACCCTATGGACCTCCGCCGCGGTTCGCAGGCCGCCGTGGACCGCGTCGTCGCGTTCCTCTCCGAGAACGCGAAGCCGATCACTACCACCTCTGAGATTGCGCAGGTGGCGACCATCTCCGCGAACGGCGATACCCACGTGGGCGGTCTCATTGCACAGGCGATGGAGAAGGTCGGAAAGGAGGGTGTGATCACCGTGAAGGAGGGCAAGACGATCGAGGATGAGATCGAAATCACGGAGGGCATGCGCTTCGACCGTGGTTTCATCTCTCCTTACTTCATTACGGATGTGAAGACGCAGAAGGTCGAATTTGAGAAGCCGTTGATCCTCCTCGCGGAGAAGAAGATCTCGTAGGTCTCCGTTTATACGACTCGCTGATCTTCCGGCTAATATTCTGTTAGTGTTCTCGCCGACCTCATGCCCTCCCTTGAAGCCGCTGTGTCGCAGCGCCGTCCTCTGCTCATCATCGCGGAGGATGTTGACGGAGAAGCCCTTGCCGCGCTCATTGTCAACAAGCTCCGTGGCCAGCTCCAGGTCGCCGCCGTCAAGGCTCCCGGCTTCGGTGACAACCGCAAGAACATCCTTGGCGATATCGCTATCCTTACTGGCGGCACTGTCTTCACGGATGAGGTCGACGTCAAGCTCGATGCTGCGACCCCTGACATGCTCGGATCCACGGGTAGCGTGACTATCACCAAGGAGGATACCATCATCCTCAATGGCGATGGCGGCAAGGACGCCATCCAGGCTCGCTGCGAGCAGATCCGCGGCGTGATCTCTGACCCCACCACCAGCGACTACGACAAGACCAAGCTCCAGGAGCGCCTTGCCAAGCTCTCCGGCGGTGTTGCCGTCATCAAGGTCGGTGGCGCTAGCGAAGTCGAGGTCGGCGAGAAGAAGGATCGCTACGACGACGCGCTCAACGCGACCCGCGCGGCCGTCGAGGAGGGTATCCTTCCCGGTGGCGGTGTTGCGCTGCTTAAGGCGTCCCTCGCGCTCGCGACCAACTCCCCTGCGGCTGGCGCGTCCACCTCCTCACCTGTCTCACCCGACGCGAAGCCGATCGCTACGGCGAACTTTGATCAGGACCTCGGCGTCTCCATCGTCCGCCGCGCGCTCACCCATCCCTCGCGAACGATCCTGAAGAACGCCGGCGAAGAATCCAGCGTGATCGTCGGCACCCTGCTCCAGCAGTACGGCGCCAAGGACAAGTTTGAGTGGGGATACGACGCCAGCCGTGGCGAGTACGTCGACATGATCAAGGCCGGCATCGTCGACCCGCTGAAGGTCGTGAGGACGGCGTTGGTTGATGCTGCCGGCGTCGCCAGCTTGTTGACCACGAGTGAGGCGTGCGTCGTCGAGGCTCCCGAGGAGAAGGCCCCAGCGGCACCGATGGGTGGCATGGGCGGTATGGGCGGCATGGGCGGCATGTATTAGATGGACGAAAACCGCGGGCCAGAGGCCGGGTGATGGCCTTTGGTGGGTTGATCTCCACAAAAGTATCCTGCATCATGGGCTGTTGTTATCTGTTTCTGTCGCACGATTCTTCGCACTACTCACGATCCCCACGTCGCATTCGCTACTGTTATGTGCCTTATAGTTATACGTACTTTGCTAACGCTGCTCAATCCGCAATACAATCCACCACTCACCGCTTCCCTATTCTTTGCTGGATCGCCGCTCGCCACCAATCGACGGTGTTTATGTCAGTCCTTCCAATGAGAACGGATCCATTCCGAGTGTTGCGAGCGGCCGCGCGCCTCGAGGATCGCGTCGACGACTGGAAACTTTCGGGTTACCCGATCGTACCATATTCATAAACTCGTTCCGGGCGATCCATTTCACTGTGACCGCGCCCCCCCCCCCCCCCCCCCCCCCCCCCCCCCC